TGCAGTATTCCATGTAATACAGAGTTGGAGTCAGTAACTCCCCATATATATGTATGTAGTGAAGTTTCCGTCTGAAAAGAACCATGTGTTGCCAACAAGCTAGGTGAAGTAAGGCTTTCACACACACTTAACTTCAGCAATGATCATGTTGAGTGATGTTCATTCATAGAGGACAAAGGGAACGGGATCCAAGGGAAACAATATCTCTGGTTTCTCAGTCAGTTTCCTAGTGCTGATATGAAGTTCCTGCAGTTTACACTGTAAACCTGGGTTGGAGTTATTACCTATCCATATAATTATATGTTGTGGATTTTGAAACTTAAAAGATACATTGTTTTCCCAACAAGCAAGGAAAAGCACGGCTTTCAAACACAGATATATATTAGAACTGAACGCGTGGATAGAATTTTGTTCATTTAGCACAAAGAATGTGATGTAGGAGAAACACATACTCTGATTTCTCAGTCTGATTCGTAGTGCCGGTATGAAGTTCCAGCAATTTTCACTGTAATACAGAGTTGGAGACAGTAACTCCCCATATATATGTATGTAGTGAAGTATTCAACTGAAAAGAACCCTGTGTTCCCAACAAAAAAAAATTGAAGAACGGCTTTCTCACACAGTTAACTCTCAGCACTGAGCTTGTGGAGAGATGTTCGTTCATAGAGCACAAAGGGAACGGGATTCCAGGGTAACAATATCTCTCGATTCTCAATTAGTTTCGAAGTGCCGTTATGAAAATCCTGCAGTTTTCACTGTAAAAAATTGTTGGAGTTGCTACCTTTCTGTTTATATATAAGTAGTGGAATTTGAAACTTAAAAAACCCTTTGTGTTCCCAACAAGGTATGCAAACAACCACTTTAACACACAGATATACCTCAGAACTGAGCATGTGGAGATAAGTTTGTTCATTTATCACAAAAGAAAGTGTTGCAGGAGAAACACATACTCTGGTTTCTCAGCCTGTTTCGTAGTGCCGGTATGAAGTTCCTGTAGTTTCACTGTAATACAGAATTGGAGTCAGTAACTCCCCATATATATGTATGTAGTTAAGTTTCCAAATGAAAAGAACCTTGTTTTCCCAACAAGCTAGATGAAAGAACGTTTTCACACACAATTAACTCTCAGCACTGAGCATGTGGAGAGAATTTTGTTCACAGAGCCCAAAGGGAATTGTATACCAGGTAAAAAATTTCTCTGGATTCTCAGTCTGTTTCCTAGTGCCGCTATGAAGTTCCTGCAGTTTGCACTGTAAAACCGTGTTGGAGTTATTATCTTTCAACATATACATATGTAGTGGATTTAGAAACTTAAAATAAATTTTGGGTTCCTAACAAGCTAGGTAAGGCAGCTTTCACACACAGATATATCTCATAACTGAGCATGTGGAGAGAATTTTTTCATTTAGCACAAAAAAAGTGTTGTAGGAGAAACAAATACTCTGCTTTCTGAGTCTGTTTCCTAGTGCCAGTATGAAGTTCCTGCAGTTTTCCCTGTAATACAGAGTTGAACTAAGTAACTCCCTATATATATGAATGTAGTGAAGTTTCAAACTGAAAAGAACCTTGTTTTTGCAACACGGTAGGTGAAGGACGGCTTTCACAGACACTTAACTCTCAGCACTGAGCATGTTGAGATACGTTCTTTCATAGAGCAATAAGGGAGCGGTATACCAGGGAAAAAATTCTCTGGTTTCTCAGTGTTTCCTCGTGCCAGTATGAAGTTCCAGCTGTTTTCACTGTAAAACCTTGTTGGAATTACAGCCTTTCCATATATATATCTATATAGTGGATTTTGAAACTTTAAAGAAACTTTGTGTTCCCAACAAGCTAAGTAAATGACGGCTATAAAACAAAGACTTAACTCAGAACTGAGCATGTGGAGAGAAGTTTGTTCATTTAGCCCAAAAGAAAGTTTTGCAAGAGAAACACATTCTCTGATTTCTCAGTCAGTTGCGTAGTGCCCGTATTATGTTCCTGCAGATTTCACTGTAATACAGAGTTGGAATCAGTAACACCCCATATATATGTACGTAGTGAAGATTACAACTGAAGAGAACCTTGTGTTTCCAACAAGGTGTTTTTGCAACACGGTAGGTGAAGGACAGCTTTCACACTCACTTAACTCTCAGCACTAAGCATGTGGAGAGACCTTTTTTCATAGAGCAGAGATGGAACGGGACCCCAGGGAAACAATTTTTCTGGTTTCTCAGTCTGTTTCCTTGTGCCGGTATGAAGTTCTTGCAATTTCTGTATATATATATGTAGAGGATTCTTAACTTAAAGGAACTTTGTGATCCCATAAGCTAGGTAAAGGATGACTTTCACACACAGACATATCCCAGAACTGAGCATGTGGAGAGTAGTTTGCTAAGTTAGCACAAAAAAAGTGTTACAATAGAAACACATAATATCTTTTCTCAGTCTGCTTCCTAGTGCCGGTATGAAGTTCCTGCATTTTTCACTCTGGTACAGATTTGGAGTCAGTAACTCCCAATATATTTTTTTGTAGTGTAGTTTCCAACTGAAAAGGACCTTGTGTTCCCAAAAAGCTTTGTGAATTATGGCTTTCACACACACTTAACTCTTAGCACTGAGCATGTGGAGAGACATTCTTTCATAGAGCACAAAGGGAACGGGATACCAGGGAAACAATTTCTCTGGTTTCTCATTCTGTTTCCTAGAGCCGGTATGAAGTTCCTGCAGTTTTCACTGTAGAACCATGTTGGAGTTATTACCTTTCCATATATATAAATGTAGAGGAATTAGAAATTTAAAAGAAACTTTGTGTTCCTACAAGTTGGGTAAAGGAAAGCTTTCACACAGAGATATATATCTGAACTGAGCTTGTGGAGAGAATTTTGTTCATTTAGCACAAAAAATGTGTTGCATGAGAAACACATACTCTGGTTTCTCTGTCTGTTGCCTAGGGCCGGTATGAAGTTCCTGCAGTTTTCAGTGTAATACAGAGTTGGACTAAGTAACTCACCATATATATATATGCAGTGAGGTTTCTAACTGAAAGAACTTTTTTCCCAAAAAGCTAGGAGAAGGACGGCTTTCACACACAATTAACTCTCAGCACTGAACATGTGGAGAGACATTCGTTCAAAGAGCACTTAGGGAACTGGATTCCAATGAATCAATTTCTCTGGTTTCTCAGTGTTTCCTTGTGCCGGTATGAAATTCCTCCAGTTTACACTGTAAAACCTTGTTGGAGTTATTACCTTTCCATATATAAATATGTAGTGGATTTTGAAACTTGAAAGATACTTTGTTTTCTCAAGAAGCTAGGAAAAGGACAGCTTTCACACACAGATATATCTCAGAGCTGAGCATGTGGAGAGTAGTTTGCTCATTTAGTACAAAGAAAGTGTTGCAGGGAAACACATACTCTGGTTTCTGTGACTGTATCCTAGTGCGAGTATGAAGTTCCTACAATTTTCACTCTAATACAAAGCTGGAGTTCGTATCTCTCCATATAAATGTATGTAGTGAATTTTCCAACTGAAGAAAAACTTGTGTCCCAACAAACTACTTGAAGGAAGGCTTTGACACACACTTAACTCTCAGAAATTAGCATGTGTAGAGACGTTCACTCATAGAGCACAAAGGGAATGGGATCCCAGGGAAACATTTTCTCTGGTTTCTCAGTTTGTTTTGTAGATCCAATATGAAGTTCCTGCAGTTTTCACTGTAAAACCGTGTTGGAGTTTTGCCTTTCCATATATATATATGTAGTGGATTTTAAACTAAAATAAATTTGTGTTCCCAACAAACTAGGTAAAGGACGGCTTCCTACATAGATATATCTCAGAACTGAGCATGTGGAGAGAAGTTTGCTCAGTGAGCACAAAAGAAAGTGCTGCAGGAGAAACACATACTCTTGTTTCTCAGTCTGTTTTCTAATGCCGGTATGTAATTCCTGCATTTTTCACTCTAATATTACTTGGAGTCAGTTACACCCTATATATATGTAAGTAGCGATGTTTCCAACAGAAAAGAACCATGTGCACCCAACAAGCTTGTTGAAGGTTGGCTTTCACACACACTTAACTCTCAGCATTGAGCTTGTGAAGAGATGTTAGTTCATAAATCA